CAAAGAAGTCATAGACATTCACCATAGGCTGCAAAATGCACAAATCCTGAGAAGGTACCAAGGGAGAGGGAGGCTTGATTATTTCTGTAAGGACCAGGGAGGGTGGCAGATCTGGGGAACAGCCAATATCAGCAAAAAGCAAGGAGGCAGGTTAAATGCAAGGGATGCAGAAGGAAATGCAAAGGAATGGAAAGGAAGAAAGAGAGGGAAAGAGAGAAAACCCCTGTGAGGACCAAGAGAGGAGTGGTACTCCCCACTCAAACACATCCCAATCCAGGACTCGAGTGGGAGGCCTTGCTGTTTGTGCTGCCCAGGGGAGGTAAGCAACTGGAGGAAGGACATGATGCCTCCTTCCCCAGTCGTGTCCCTGAATCTATACAGCAGCAGAGCAATGATCTCACCTCCTGCAAACACCTGCTTAAACCCATAGTAAGTCCATCAGGTATCTAGTTTGGGGAAAAGCAGATGAAGAGGTGCCCAGTCTGAAGGGGATGGCTTCTTGCTGCGTGGTCATCATTGTGGTCTCCAGGGTGGCCTGAGTATCTTGTCAGAGGCATCCACCCACCCTGCTGGAAAAACGGCCAGGTGGATCCCCTTGGGTCTACCACGTGCTCCTCTCCTTAGAAGCCAGCCAGTGACTCCCCCTGTGGACAGAAAAGGAAGGAATCAGCTGTATAGTTTTACATGTTGACCCTTGACCTGGTTTGCTTTCTAATGAAAAGCAGTTAACTAAATCTTGCCCCACCTTCTGTAGAGTAAAAGGACTGAGTTTGATAGCAAAGCTAGCATAACAAGAAAACGCAGTGACATTAATTTCCCAGCTCTCCTCCATTTTAGAATTCCAGACATTCTGGGAACCTGTATTTATTTCAACTGATAGTGTAGGTTTACAAAAAGATACATTAAGGTATGGTTATTAGCAGTACTAAAAAATGTTAATATAATCGAAGTGAACACAACAAAATTGTCTTAAAATATATAGCCTCTAGATGTATTTAAAATGTAATTCCAAAAACTCAAAACATGTTTAGAAAGACAAGAGTAAGGAGTGTTATTAGTTGTCCCTCTGACACCCGTTTCCTACCTTCCTTTTCCTCATAGACGTAGAATTTCCCAACCATGGAGTTTGGGTGGAATGGGTCTACCTCCAAATCCCTGGAGGGGGCTCTCATTGGTTTATGATCTTGTCTTAATGAACCACTTCCTCCTAACTACATTGATTGGTTCAAGAATGAGCATGTGGAAAAGCACCTGGCCAATGAAATTCAATTAGGGGATTTGGAGTTAAGCATTGAAAAAGGAAGCAGGTAGACCTAGAAAGCTTCCAGCTGTTTGGGGACCAGGAGAGAAGGGCCTAAGTAAAAGTAGGCCCACCAAGTACCAACGTGGCAAAGTGGAGGGGTGGAAAGGTGAAGAAACTGGGTCCAAGTGACAGTTTTGCAGCCCTGGTACAACCTCATTTTGGGGAATCCTTTTCATGAACCAATACATTTACTTTTCTGGGCCATTTGTGTCAGATTTTTCTGTTACTTGCAACCAAGGTAACTTACAAAACACCTACCATGTGAAAAGTAAGACATCTAAAACTGCTCACTAATCCTTTGAACTTGGGAGTTTTCATTTTCCCAATGAAATCTCATGAACCACAAACTCATAGGACAATACCCACAGGAGGTGTGTAGAAAGGAAATCAGCTTTCCGTCCATCTGAGAGCTTTTCATTTCCTCTCCCTTTCCCTTAGTCTCCTTTTCTCCTCTCTCCTTCGAAAAGGAACACCGGGTAAATCCTATTAGGCTGAAGCCAAATGCACTGCAGACTGCCTTAGTCTTACAAAAGGGTGCAGTGAATCTTACAATTTCAAGTATAGGGTGCCCTAACGTCTTGGTGATCTAGATTTTTCCTTCCTTTTGTAGGTAATACACACCATGACCTCTTAAGTATCCATCATTATCTGCCGTTGCTATATAGTGAAGAAAACACAATCAACCTTAATTCCCTGCCTGCCAGCTAAACCTTGGGCAGGTGTCAGTACCAACTACAGCTACCACAGGTATAATTACTGGTTCACGTATTGCCTCTCTTCAGGGTGGTGAGGCCCATTTTGAATCCTCTTTGTATCCCTCATTGTCAAGCAAATATTTGAAAATGTCCATTTATGATGCAGCTGCTAACCTAATTATGGCATTTGGTTGGATCCAATTTGGCACACATCTGGTGTATATTACAAGGTTCAGTTATCCTCTATCCATAACCTTTTATGGGGTACGGAGCAGTTGCACTGGATCTTGCCCCAATCATTCAACAGCTAAATTTCGCTAAGTCTGTGTAACCATTGGTGCTAAGGTTCTGAGACAGATTGCTTTAAATTTGCTCATCCCTTCCCCCACCACATTCTCAGCTGCAGGGCCCCAGATACAACTTGTTAATGCCCACAGGATCATCAATTCCTTGATTTCCCCCTTCAGAAATAGGGACACAGAGAACCTTGCTTGGTTGAACTTGGCTGCCTTTTCCAGTTGGGGGAGGTGGGTACTGGCTATCTGCTAGGTTTGGTATTGCCCTCTTGGCTGCTCTCCCTTGTTGACTAGATTGTTTCAGGGTTAGAGAGGGTAGATGGTTCCACAGATCCAAAGTACAGGAAGTTTATAAGCACTGGGCACGTTGTCAGCTCTGGTTACCACTGGCAATGTGTGACCAAGGAACACTCTCTGGCAAGAGCCCCATGGCCATTACAGTACCTAGGACTTGCGTTAGATGTCCCTGCCCAGTAAAACACACACACACACACACACACACACACACACACACACACACACATTAAAGAACACATGGGCAGCTCTGTCAGGATCTGGCACCCAGTGCTGGTTCCATGGAACATAGCTCTTAGCATCCACTCTCATGATTAATATTGTTCAAACCTCAAAGAAATGTTACTTGTCTCTTGCTCAATGTCCTAAAAACAAAGGTTACAGGCTATGAATGCCATGTAGAATTGTGGCACTGCTGATATTTGAGACTAACACCATTTTAAATCCAAGAGTACTTGGATTTTTTTTTGGATTAAAAAAACCTGGCAGATTTGTCAAGTCCTTCTCAGATCACATGAATGCAGTGATTACTGTATTACAAAGTATTGTTCCCCAGAGGTGAGAATCAGCCATTTTCTTCCTTCTTTTGATATTCCAATTTGTGACTCCAGATGTACTCAAGAATTAGCATGGTGTTCTTTTTTTTCAACGTTTATTTATTTATTTATTTATTTATTTATTTATTTATTTTATTTTTGGGACAGAGAGAGACAGAGCATGAACGGGGGAGGGGCAGAGAGAGAGGGGGACACAGAATCGGAAACAGGCTCCAGGCTCTGAGCCATCAGCCCAGAGCCTGACGCGGGGCTCGAACTCCCGGACCGCGAGATCGTGACCTGGCTGAAGTCGGACGCTTAACCAACTGCGCCACCCAGGCGCCCCAAAATTAGCATGGTGTTCTAAGTATTACACATGACAGCTAAGGAATGACAGCAATTCACATTACTCTTAAATGTGTATATATAAATGTGGGAAATACTATATTGGTTTAGATACATACTCTTGTAAGGGATGGCATGCATCACAGAATAAGCGATAGCAACTTGCATGATGAAATAAAATTGTTTTGGTAATATCTTCTGTGGTAATCTATCATATCATGTGACCTCATTATAATGCTGGATGTGATATGTTCCTGAGTTATCGCTAAACCTGAATATCGCTTTACTTTTTAAAAACAATTTCAGTTTTAAATGCTTCAGCAGAGCAGTTTCTCCAAATTGAAATTAATAAACCACACTCTAAGAACTACAGTGATTTAAGAAAGGTGGTCTGACTTGACATTAAGAACATAAATTTGATTGCCATAACATATATAGTGACTTTGCTAAAATAAAAGTGAAGAAGAGAAATCTATGGAAAAACAAAAATTACTTGTGAATTGTTTGTCTTTATAATATTACCCACGCACACATTATTACCAGCCCACCATCAGAACAGTCAGACATATGCAATAATGACTAAGTTCTGTCATCTTTGACATTTTACTGATATTCGGTCATATAATAAACCCTAGCATTATACTTATTTTTCTGTTTCATTGGTTTGAAAGTATAATTGCCAGGGTTATAATAGAAAACACCTGAAGAGCTTAATTGATAAGCTTTAAATGCTTTAAATATTTAGGTGTACGCCACATTGGCCTCCATTCGTCCTCTTGCCCCATCTCGCAGATATTGGTGGCAGCCAGAGGAGGTGCGAACCGGGATCCGGGATCCTCTCCGCTCCCGCTCAGCGCTGGGCTCCCGGCTGAAGTCCGGCAGGTGCCCTGGGGCCCCGCCCCCGCCGCCCACCTCCTCGGGGATTGGCTACCTTGGGCTAGGGGGCGGGCCCAAGAGCCGTTTAAAGTTGGGGGTCGTGGGCGCCAGCAGTGCTGGGTTTCTTGCGCCGGGTGCGTCCAGGTAGTCTCCAGCCGCGCGCTCTCGCTGCGTCCAAGGCGGAGTTCCTAGTTCCCTTTGTAACCCGCCTGCTTCCGCGCGACCCCCGGCTCGGCTCTTTTGCAAGAAAGAGTCAAAGTCCGGGCCTCGGTGCCTCGCGAGTGTCCGAGCAGGCTGGGCGCGCTGGCCCAGGGCGGCTGGGCACGCGTGCGGGCGGGGTGGGGACCCGGGTCGAGAGGGACCCCGGCGGCGTGCGGGGGCTGCAGGAAGCAGGGGCGGCGGCCGCTCGGGCCCCGGCTTGGCGGGGTGAGAGACACCCGGAAACGGATTCCTCTTGGGTGCCCGCGCGAGGCGGGCGTCTCGCAGGGAGCGGGAGGAGCAGGCGGGCGGGCGGCTGCTGAGTAATCCCCGCGGCGGGCGGCGGCGGCGGCCTGGGCGCTCACGTCCCCCGCCGCGCTGCAGCCGGCCCGGCTCCTCCCCTCTCCCCCGGCCCGCCCCGCCCCACGCCGCCCCTCCCCCGCCCCGCTCGGCTGTGCGGCGCTCCGGGCAGGTAGAGCGGGGCTCCGGGCGCGCGGGGGCCGCAGCAGCTGCCGCCCCACCTCTCCTCGGCCCTGCGCACAGCCTCGCGCGCCCATGGCCGGCTCGGAGCAGCAGCGGCCGCGGCGGCAGGACGACAGAGACTCGGCGGCGGCGGCGGCGGCGCCCCTGCAGGACGCGGAGCTGGCCCTGGCCGGCATAAACATGCTGCTCAACAACGGCTTCAGGGAGTCGGACCAGCTTTTCAAACAATACAGGTGACCGACGCGCCCGCCTCCCCCCGCCCCGGCCACGCGCCCCTGGGGGCCGGCTCGCGCGCTGCAATCCGCCGCGGGCCCGAGAAGCCTCCTCCCCCTCCCGTCGGTCACTAATCCTCCCCGGCCCCGGTGCCCGGGTCGCCTCCCTCGGCCTGCGCTGCAGCCGGCGCTTCTGCGCCTTTGTCACATCGCCCCTTTCCACCCCCGCCCCGTTGTCCTTTCCTTGCGCGGGACCCACTACCCGTCCCCCCTCGCTCCTGCGGTCTCCCCTCACTTTCTCGCTCCCCGCCCCCCCAGAGGGGCACCCAGTGCTTGTCCGCTTCTCTCTCGCGGGTCGCCTTCCCGCCGCCGGGTCCGGAGCCCGTTGGCTTGGGACCTGGGACCGGATGGGATTGGAGGCAGCTGGGAGCCTCAAACTCGCAGTGTTGTGCCCGAGCAGCCTTTGTGACACGGAGCACACCAGCTGCCTCGTGCCGGGTTCTGGTGCCTCGCGTTACTTTGCATCATCGTGCATCTTAGATGCTTTTCTTGTTTGAAAACAGATACGCGTAACTGCCTGGCAGTGCAGGAATTAAAAAGAAAACTCGGCCGAACTCGGCTTGCGCCCCTCTCTCTGCCTGTCTTCTAGAACTCATTCCTCAAAATGAGTTGCTAATGCCTTTCAAGCGAGTGTGTTTATGATGGACTTGTCTAACTTGAAAAATGGAGGGATTGCAAATATACGTAAGCGTGGAAGGAAGAACACGTGTGCTCAGTTAATTGCTTTCTTAAAATCCGCCTTCTAAAAAATGAAAGAACTGAAACCTGGTTGTCTCCTGCGAGTGGGAGGAGCCTTCAGTTTCATTGGGGACCCAAAGCATCTGCTTTCTGGTTCAGGAAACAAGTTTGTGATTTGCCCAGTCTCAAGGATGTTGATTAGCAGCTTCCCTGTAGGTGTTTAGGAGCCATATGCTTCACACTTCTTAAGACCTGAGTGGCTTGGTAGGAATAAGGGACCGATGTGTGTCCGTGGTTAAGAGGCACAGTCTGTGAGAGGAAGGATACAGTCAGGTATCTGACGTCAGGCACCTGATGTTTTCACACTTCACGGACTGGTGGTTCTATTGGTTGGGCTTTCACTTCTTAATGGCAAAGCAGATATCTCACAACAATAAACTTTATCCTAAACATAGTTTACCGTTAGATCACTTTTTTAATAAAAAATCTGAAAGTGGAAACCTCTTCTTGACTTTACTCAGGACCCTTTGTTTTTAAAACGTACCAGTCTGATTTCAGTCTGAGAATGTACATTTTTTTAAAAAATGTATGATTGACATAGTGCTCTGATTTTTTTTTTTTTTTTTTTTAAAGACTACCAGTTTGTGGTGTAGGAGAGGGCTGGGGAAAGCCTGAGTCAAGTTTACTCCTTAGCTGCTGCTGATTAAGATACAGTGCTTGCATATTTCAATACTTATTGCTTTGAAATGTTCTGTTACTGGTTTTAGTCATCTTTTTTCCCCCCAAACTTCTTTAGTGTACTTAAATAGTACTTGTAGGTTCTGGTATATTGAAAGCATTAAATAAGGCAAAAATACTGTTACCCAGACAATTTTATGTGCTCCTAGCAGAGGGCGGATTCTGAGTGATAGGAAATTCATTTTTTCACAGAAACAGATATGCACCTAGAAAACAGTTCCTCTGTGGGTGAGTGTGTTGGGGGTGGAGGAGGGGGAAGGTGTCCAGGGAAGATCTACAGTATATAGACAGGAGCTGTCTACTCGGGTTTTGAAATAGGAATTGAAAATGAAAACAGAAACTATTGTAGTCTCTTTTTCTTGCCAGGCATGGTGCTGGGCTCATTCCTTTATATTCTTACTATTCTAGGGACAGCAAAAAGGTGAGCTGTATTTTTATCATGTTAATTTTATTACGAGGGGCTTGAGTCTCTGTGTTTAGCAAGGACCAGGACACAAGCACAGTGGTTCTAAATCAGGGTTCTTTTCCTTATCTCATTCGGCCTGTCTCACTAAAATTATTATACAGTTGACTGTTGAGTAACAGGGGTTTGAACTGCATGGGTCTACTTCTATGTGGATTTTTTTTAATACTGTAAGTATATTTTCACTTCTTGTGATTTTTCTTAACATTTTCCCCCCTCTAGCTTACTTTGCTACAAGAATACAGTACGTAACACATAGAATATGCAAAATATTGGCTATCGGTAAGGCTTCTGGTCAGTGGTTTCGCTACTAGCAGTTAAGCTTTCGGGGAGTCAGAAGTTACATATGGATTTTTGACTGCACAGGGGTTTGATGCCCCTGACCCTAACATTGTTCAAGGGTCAACTGTATTTTGATTTGCCCTCTGACCTTATTTTCCAGAAATTTAAGCTTTTGAAGGGCTGGACAGTGGTAGCATTCTCCCATCAGCTTTCCCTTGAATCATCCATTTTGTGATGTGGGAAAGCCTTGCACTCTTGCCACTTCCCACGTGTGCTGCTGATCCAGATTTTAGAGAACACAGTTGTGTACAGGTGTGGTTGTGGACCAGTGTCCTGCAACCAAGGTTGTAACTGTAGTTTTGCCACTTTTCTAGGTGCTGACTCAAAATTTGCTTCCTATAAAATGGGAGTAGCGCACATCATAATGTGGTCGTTAGGATTAAAAATAATCCATGGTAGCTGGCATGGTGTAAGCTCTCAGTAAACACGAGCTAGCTTTATACTTGATGCCTTCTCCACAACTGTGCCTTCTTTTCTTTTTTTATGCTTTTTTATTTTTGAGAGAGAGAAAGAGAGTGTGAGCGGGAGAGGGGCAGAGACAGAGGGAGACACAGAATCTGAAGCAGGCTCCAGGCTCTGAGCTGTCAGCACAGAGCCTGGTGCGGGGCTCGAACCCATAAACCTTGAGATCGTGACCTGAACCAAAGTATGACGCTTAACCGACCAAGCCACCCGGCCACCCTGTGCTTCCTTCTTGATGACATAGTTTGAGTAGAGGGAAAAATGTCCTGTATGCAGGTAACTTTTATATTTAAGGTTAGCCTCACATAGTGCATATGAGAGATTTAGATCCTACTATGTTAGTGGAAAACTGCTGTTCCAAAGTTGAATGGCCTGCTGGAAAACTCAGCAGTGACTTTATTGTAAGTATTCCAGGAGCACCTCCACCTGCTCTTTCCAGAGCAATTTGGTTTTCTCCTTTGTTAGGATTATGTTGTCACAGAAGACCATCCTTTCCCTACAAGTAAACCTTCCAAAATCCTACTACAGTTTAACAATAAGACTATTTTGTATCTGGTGTAACAATGTTCTTAAGGTCATTTTCTCATGCTACATTACTGGGATGATAAAAGTTTCAGCAACAGCTATGGAATGAGAAATGGTTACTTCATAGAAACCGATTATCATGAAGGCCATTCTGAATTAGTCGAAAGTCTGGATTGTGTCATTTAGATATCGCAGATCCAGGAATTAGAAATAAATGCACAGTAGAGCCTTTCTTTTGAGCTGTAAGAGGCTCCTAGTTGGTTTTCAAAGTGTAACTGTTACTTCTATTGTAATGCTAGTAATAATGTAACAAGGTGCCCTGTTGTTGGTGCTGAGACCCCATCTGTGCACGTGGGGTTCCCAGAGGTGGGAGGCAGATGGATGCTGCCGTGGGCCCTTTCTGCTTTGAGCCTAAAGACATAACTTTGTACCTTCGTGATACTGACCATCTGAAATCAAATTCCTGTTGTTCATCTTTGGGCTTGGTGATCTCGTGCAGCAGTGCTCACTAGCCACCCTCCCCACACACCACTCTTAACTGATGTTCACATGTGTGACACACACTGAGACCTGTAGGTATTGAGACACACGATAGGTTAGGTGATCCTTACATGAACAAGAACAGGCACTAGATATCAGATGTTGCGGGGTAGGTACAATGGTGTGGAGGCTAGGGGGCGTAGCCATGGCCTGCTTCTCTGACCTGTAGGTGTGAAGGACAGCAACTTGTAACCCAGCTGGAAGGACACTTTTGTAGGGGAACTGCTGTCTGAGCATGATGATGGGGGAGGAGGAGTTCAGCGGGGAGGGAAATGTGACAGGAGGTGGGGTGGAAAGGGAAGCCTAGGAAATAATGAAAAGCCCACATGGGAATGTGAAATGGGTGAGCCCTGCGAGCTAGCTGATCAATATTATTAGGTCATCCTGTTTGATGGCTTATTCTGTATTTATTTTTTCAGATCACTGGTTAGTCCGTGTTTCCTGTGAGTCAGCGCTGCTTTTCAGGGTTACTTTGCTGCTAGTGGTCTGGGCAACTCCCATTTTATAATGACCGTGTTCCTCATTGCGGCCCTCACGTCCATGATAAACTCTTGACATCCTTTTCTGCTTTTGGCTTGCAGTGTTACTTTTTTACTGTCAGGAGAGGTGAAGCATATTGAGATAGGAGGAAGACAGGAGACATCTGGGGCTCCTGGCCCAAATGAAATTTGTAGCTTTCATTTCACAGGTGGGACATTTTCCCCCCTCCTCCCCTTGGTACCATCATCTCCTCCTGCTTTAACTTCTGGTGTTATTTCTGACTTTAAAACACCTGTGTTCTTGGCCTGCCAACACTACCACTAATTCCTGGCTGTAGGTGTTATTAGAAAGTATTATTAAAAAATCATTGTCCATTAAAACAAGCATATAGTGTTTATAAGGAATGTTCATTGAGCATAAATATGCATACATTTGGATTTGTTATAGAATTTGTAAGTGGTTGTATTATGAAGTACATTTTTGTTTTTTAAATTATAAAAATGGCAAAGATTTACTAAACAAAAGGCAAGAAAAATTCGTGGTAAGGTAATATGTTTACGTTTAAAATGAAAGTATGGATCCTAAATTGTCTAACATCTTTTACGGCACCCATGACAAAGCCATATGACCTTTCTCTTATTTGTGAGCATGTTGATTAAAGTCGGTCTTGCTATAGAGATGTATCCATATAATACAGGGGTTGCCAAGTATGGCCCGTGGGCCAGATCTGGCC